TATTCTCATATTAAGATGATTCTACAGTTAGAAGGGTCAATTAATCTAATAATTGTATCTCTGTCCAAAACATAAACAGAAACTGACATGCCACTTTAAACAGATATAAATGGAGTTATACATGTCCAACAAATGTGTTTTTAGACTTTTTAGAAAGCTTATCAAATTCTAAACAACTTTGTTTTAAACACCCCAAGCTAATTCTACTATTAAGAATGTCCCACAGTAAGAACAAGGAAACCCTCTCTGGGTTTGGGCAGAAACAGCCACAGAGATATAAGCAAGTATAACTCAAGATCTACTTAACCAAAAATCATGATATTTAGCTTTTTGAAAAGCTTAATAAAAGTACTACAACTCATGTATTATCATAAATTCATGATTCATAACTTAACTGAGCCAATTAATTCAAACATGCAGGACTATTCAGAATAGGAGCAAAGCAACACAAGTAATTTGTTATTTTTATAACTCTTAAACCATCAATACTAAACTACTAAAATTTTTACCAGACATCACTAATCACATCAGTAACACTCCATAAAAATTTCACATTTATTTGAGTAAAATAACTGCAGTTATGAAAAAGACAAGACATAACTAGTATTAAGAACCTAACTGCATTGATCTATTTGTACAGAAAAATATTTGAACTAAAACATGTCATATTATAGATCTAATGCATAAACAATTTCACAAGGATTCCAAAAAGTCCTCATTTACTATTTTACAATTTTTATACTAATTACTATGAATTTTCAAAGTTCATCATTTAAATCTGTAAAAACAAAAGAAAAGACATGTAAGTCTTGCATCGGGGTCCCTGCAAAGAACTGAAATAAAAGATCAGCGATTGACCCTTCTTGACACTATTCACCAGAGTCACTGCTTATTCACTTAACCCCCTGGAGAAGCTTCTATTTCCGCGCGTGGTCCACCTTCTTCTTCCTCTCGACAGCAGCGCAGGGGAGCGGCCGGCTCGTGGCTCCGGCCGGCTGAGGCGGCGCCGGCGACGTGCTGCTGTAGGTTCCGGTAGAGGAGGATCTAGGTGCGCCTCTAGGTGTCCGCGACATGGACGGAGGCGGCCTGTGGCCTGCTGGCCATGCGAGCAGGCGGAGCGCCGGTGACTGCTCGGCGGCGACGGCGCCACGGCGGTTGAGGTGACCGGAAAAGGGGCGCAGGAGGGGCGGCGCACGACGGAGAAGGTGGTGGCACACACGGTAGGACGCGGGGGAGCTTGAAATGACGGGGACGCGACGGCGGCCAACTCGCCCATGGCGGACGCGGCCGCGCGCGGCGTCACTGTGCGAGAGAGCGAGGAAGGGCGAGTGAGGGAGGCGTGGTGACGCTCGGGCGCTCGGGCGTTCGCATTAGGAGGCGCAGGGAGCAGGGCGGCGCGTGGCGTGGAGGTTGGACACGCGTCGGCCAAGGTAGGGCGTGCTCTGGTGCATGGCGGCCACGCAGGCAAAACATCGAGCACGTGGCGAGCGTCGGTGTGGGCAAGGTCTGGGCCGATTTAGACCTCGGGCCCAAAACAAAGTTTGTTCACCTCGGCCTGCTCTACATTTTTCATTAAGGCACTCCAGTCATTTGAGCAACATAACAGTGGGTAATTTAATCTCCAAAGTGGCATTGTCAATGTATTGACGACGATGAACATACTCCAAAATTGAGGGTCATAACAAGGTCAAACGAGTGCCATCTCTTTACATGATCTTCTCCATGAACTTGGCTCCAACTTTTATTTTGGGGTCAACTTGAGATGCTTAACGAATTTTGGAGAACGCGAGGCGCCAATGCCGAGGTCGATGAATTTCTAGACTTTGAATATTTCTAAGTCTTTGAAATCAGTGAGCAGATTCAACTTTGAGCCACTGCTAGACTTAGTTCCGAGCCGATCCATGGTATACTCCAAAATGAAGTTTCTTCTACATAACATGAGCTTCAACTTTTATTTAATGTCCAACCTTAAAACAGGTGCGAAGCTATAGTTCTACTTTGACCAAAGTAGGATCACGATAAAGCTTAAATTATCCTTCGTGATCCATATTGAAACATTTTCTTGGTATTTGCTCAACATGAACCTTTCATGACTTTTGTTGTAGAGTTCATCTAGAGTCATTTGGGCATGGTTGCAAGATTTGGTTGACGATCGAGAATTCCATTCACTTTATAAAATAATTCAAGAAGGGACATAACTCATCATTTCATGTGACTTCTTGATTCCAAACTTCACTGAAACTTTTCCATGGATTAATATAGATGGGTATTGATGTGAGACACATGAAGATATTCCAATAACACCAGCCAAGCATATATCTTGAAAATGGCCTATATGTAAAAGCAAGGGTGCAATATCCAAGTTTAGGTTGGGGCTCATTTTCATAGGTTTGACCTTGACATCTTCATCATCACTTAATATGCCATGTTTGAGCTCAAACCCATTGCTTAATCGGTGGCAAACACCTAGGGTGTTACAAAGGTGACAGAGGGCGCCGTCGGGGTGGTGAGGGCGCCACGCCAGGGGTGGGGGGGGAGAGCTGCCCACTCCCCTACAACTAGGATGAAAACGGTGCGGAAATATCCTGCATCAACCGCATCGCTTTCTATATTTGACCCGATCGAATTATTATTTTGAACAAATTGAATTCGGTTCAAATCTGAAACACCAAATTGAATCAGAATGAAAAACGGTTTAGATGTTTTCCAACCGCTTTCTACTTTTCTACTTTTAATTGAATATCCCGTATTCAAATTTTGGTTTGAACCAAATTTGGCTCACTAGAAGTCCAAATTAGAAAAATTGTATTTTTTCATACGATCTCGGACGAAGATGATTTGTATATGAAAATCGTAATTCTCGGCCAGATCTACAACTTCCTAGTTTTTAGTTTTTTCATTCGAGGTCACTAATATGTTCAAAAAAATTAAATAAAGTTTAAGCAAAGATATTAATCACGTACTAGCACTTGTTATCTTAGAAAAATCATATCTTTCCGATATGGTGTCGAATGGAGATATTTTTATACGAAAGTTGTAGACTTGTTAATTGTTATGCACTTGGTCATTGTTATGCACTTGGTCCTATGAGAATATTCCGTATTGATTTTTCGTATACCAACCGTGTTCGACATAATTCTGCTAGAATTAGTTCGTTTTCAAAATTCTCAATATTCCATAAGTTCGTGTTTGTTTTCGTGTCTGGTTTTACAGCTTTTGCTTTTATTTTTGTATTCAAATGTAGAAGTAGAAAACGGTTGAGGAATTTTTCGACCGTTTCTGATCTTTTTCATTCCTACCTGCAAAATCGTCGTGCCACCTCCGTGGATCTCACCGGGGTGGGGGAACCAGATCCGCGGGCATTAGGCGCTCCCGGTGGGTGAGGATGCCGGGGTGGGCGGAGGGGCGCTGCCGGGGCGGGGGAGGAGCCGCCAGGGTGGCTGAGGGCACCGCCGCCGGCCCGGGAGGCAGCCATGGCTGTGCGTCGGGGACTCGGGGTGGGTGGGGCGCGAGCGCGGAAGAGAGGAGGAAGCGTGGGATTGGGTGCGGGAGTGAGCGGAATGAGGCGTACGTCCGTCCGAACGTCTTAATTGGAGCATTATCGTTGAAGAAGCTCCAACTTGCTCATCTGGATTAGCTTAATGAAGCTTGTGTGCAGATGTCGTAGAAAACAATTTTGTGTGCTCACTCCAGGCCCCGTGCTCACTCCAAGCCACATGGGGGCTTTGCTTGTAGGCTGTCCGTTGGGTGGCATCTCTTGGCCGGAGATTAGACGCGACTTCACAGTGAATTCAATCTCTATTTTGAATCTGGTATCTAACATGAGAATCTTTTACAGCACTAATCATCCACATTTTTTGGCTAACTTATCTCATGTGCTACTTGATACATGTCTAAGTTTTTCATTATTAAGAAAAAATGGACATGACCGGTGGTAAATGCGAGTCAGAACTTGAAACTAGGTGGTAAAATTCGAGTCAGAACTTGAAACTAGGCGGTAAATTCGAATCAGAACTTGAAACTAGGTTGTTGGATCTATGATCGTATCTTCCACCCAACTAATTAAGCTAGACTCACATTCTTTAGTTTTAGTATATAGATCAGGTTATGGAACTACCAAGCGAAACAGAATCGATAACTACCATTGATGTAATCAAAATGAATATTTTTCAAGACTAACATTAATATATAACAACTTAGTCTACTACAAAATCGCATAATAGGATGTTCTCTACATTGTCGTTTTGACAAAAAAAAACGATAGCAGGGAAACTTGTTCCTGCCACCGATCAAAGTTCAGAATCTTATCAATTGTAAGCAACAAAATGTTTATTGTTAAGTACTCCTGTAAAAAGTGAAGTTAAAATCGAGTAATGTGTTCTCTAAAATGAGCTAAAAGAAAGGGCAACAAAATTGGTCAAGGCCTATCTGTTTAATTTCTTTATTACCATTTGGACTATCTGTTTAACATAATTAGTCGACCCATGGTCCTTGAAGTTTTGAGAGCTTAGCAATCATCAGAACCTGCTATCAATATGGAAACTGTAGATTCAGCAAATAAACAACATCAAAACCGAGATAGGATATCACATGCTGCCACTAAAATCAGCATTATAGATCACTAGACACGAGTCTAACAACTGTCCTTGCCACTGGCAGAAATAGAGTATATATTTGAGGGGTATGCTTCTGTGTTGCGGTTGCGTATCACTCGCTCTTCGGTTACACACTTTCACTCGTCAACTTTCTCCACCAACAATCCTTGCATTTGAACTGCTTCATGTTGTACTCTTTCTAACTCCCTTTTTTCAGCGTTGAGTAGGCTGATAAACAAACAATGCATGCATGAGCATGGAGATCTGAGCTTCACAGTGGAGTGCACCCTAAGAACTGATCACTTTTCAGTTGCCACGCTAATTACTCTCCAAAGGAACTAACTTCTGGCACCAAGAGTCCAAGCTAGACGGCAAGAGGTCACAGCACCATTGACACGGAGGACAATGGAGGGCTTCTGCTTCGCGCGGTGCCGGTTCACGCGGCTCATGGCGGTGATGCAGCTGGCGATGGGTGTGTTCGTCATGATCATCAGCATGGCTAGCCTCCACCGCTTCTACGCCACCCACAGCCTCCTCCCGGGCCTCGACGTCGACCCCGCCCACTGCACCAAGTTCCACACCGACACGGCGGGCTACGCCAGCTTCGACATCCGCGCACTCGCGGACCGCGTCGACGACGTGCTGGTCCAGCTCGCCGAGCTCCAAGACAAGCTGGAGACCACGGCGCTCAAGGTCGCCAAGAAGACCAAGAAAAGCAAGGCCAGGCGCAAGCCGCAGGAAAACATGACCATGCCGGAGTTCCGCCGGTTCCTAGAGGACGAAGTCATCCACCCGCTCTACAGCGCGCACATCGCCCTCCGCCTCATCCGCATCCCGCGCCCCGACGACGGGGACGGCGACGCCTCCACCACGCCGGCCGTGGACCCTCTCGTCAACTTCTTCACGGCCGAGGAGACGCGCAAGTACGTGACGGCCAAGGGCAACCGCGACGGCCTGCCCAGCGTGTACGGGACGAACCGGACGTACAGCACCATCGGCCACGCGTGCGTGCTCATGCGGCGAGAGCTGGACGAGTACATGAGCTACGACGTCGGCTCGCACTGCCCCGACGATTGGGACCTCGGCCAGCGCCTCATGCTCGGCGGCTGCGACCCGCTGCCGCGCCGCCGCTGCCTCGCCCCGGCCTCCAAGCTCTTCCACCGCCCGCTGCCTATCAACGAGTCTCTCTGGACGCTGCCCGACGACGGCAACGTCCGGTGGAGCCGCTACCACTGTCGTGATTACAAGTGCCTGTCCGCGAGAAACCAGCGCCGCGGCTACGACCGGTGTGTGGGGTGCTTCGACATGGACCCGGAGAAGCAGCGGTGGATGGGCGCAGCGTCGACCAACCGCACCGCCTCCCTCGCCGACTTCCGTATCGATGACGTGCTGGCGGCGAAGCCCGGCGAGGTGCGCATCGGCCTGGACATGAGCGTGGGCACGGGTAGCTTCGCGGCGCGCATGCGGGAGCGCAACGTGACCATCGTGTCAACGGCGATGAACCTGGGCGCCCCGTTCGCGGAGACGATGGCGCTACGGGGGCTGGTGCCGTTGTACGCGACGATGAGCCAGCGGTTGCCGCTGTTTGATAACACCATGGATTTGGTGCACACGGCAGGGTTCTTCGAGGGGTGGGTGGACCTGCAGCTGCTGGACTTCGTGCTCTTTGACTGGGACCGTGTGCTCCGCCCTGGTGGACTGCTCTGGGTGGACAAGTTCGCCTGCGCACGCAAGGACCTCGATGACTACATGTACATGTTCCTGCAGTTCAGGTACAAGAAGCACCGGTGGGTCGTCTCCTTCAAGTCCAAGGACGAGGTCTACCTCTCCGCGGTGCTCGAGAAACCGCCAAGGTCGTGATATGATCATCATGCTTACTCTGGTTATTTGCATGCACTAGATGATCTTTGTAAATTGGGTCTGATTCAATCTAACTTGTTGAACAATAAATGCAAAGGATTTCAATGTGTTTTCCCAATCCAATTCAGTATGACATTGTCCTCCCTCAAGCCAGTTTAACTGTGTCTAGTCTGGCTCCTCATAGAAAGCTTGCAAGATGGACCAGAGAAAAAGCACTTTGCTGTTTACAAAATTTCAATTGTGTGAATGCGGAGAAATTTAAGCTAGATTAATGGCATGCCAAAAGGGCCTGCATCAGACTGGATAATCATTAACCTCCCTTCTTTTTTTAAGGGTACAATAGAACTTTTTTTTGAGAGGGTACAACAAAATGCACTCAACCCACACACTCTATAGTTTTCTGTAATTATGGTTTTTTCTCCTTTCTTCGTCTAATAAGAAAACGGCAAAACTCTTGCTCTTTCTAAAAAACAATCCACACACTCCACCCTCACACCACGTCCATACATATGTAAAGAAAGGGATTACGAGGCTCTAGCCTTCGGTGCGCTGGATACGCAGTACGTATACCTTACCTTTTTCGGGAAAAAAACTTAGAAATTATTGTGTGACACCACATTCGAACACAGGTGGGTAACACCTCACTAGGCAGTCACAATAGAATCAGATTGTCAAACCATTGTTTGTGCACTGACACGAGTTCCCAAGTGAGATTTGACTAGTTTACTTAGCGGTACAGTTCTAACACGGTGAATTAAACCGTCGCAAAAAAAAAGTGGTGAATTAAATGCTGTGCACACGAGACAAAGCAACCACATATATACTTTAACGGCCAGGTCAAGCTCATGATTCAAGATCCTCTGACTTGCTCATCTGGATTAGCTTAATGAAGCTTTACGTGCAGATGTCGTAGAAAACAATTTTCGTGTGCTCATTCCAAGCCACATGGGGCTTGCTTGTAGTGGCATCTCTTGGCCTGACATGAGACGCAACTTCTCGGTAATTCAATTCGAAGGCACTTTGAATCTGATATAAAAAATGTGAATGAATCATATAAAAAATGAGAACATTTTACAACACTGATATTTCACTTTTTACAGCCAACTTACCTCATGTAATAACTTGATACACATCTATCTAGGTCTTCAGATATATTCACTACTACAACCGATGGCTCCTGATCGAGCTGCCTCTGTAGTGCCTAGCAAAGCGAGCCGCCTATGTAGATGCATCTTCAGAGGTGGCTCGCTGTCCAGCCGCCTCTACAATTGGCTCAGTAGAGGCTTCTGAAAATGCAATCATTATCAGAGGTAGCTAGTATCTATAGAGCCAATTGTGTAGGTCCCTCCTCTCTCTCTCTCATAGTTGCCGCTCCCTGTTCCCAACAACAGCCACACAGCCTTGCGCCAGTAGTAGCAGCCGCACCTTGTGCCTTTAGCCACCACCGCCACCCCTCCACACCAGCAGCAACAACAGCCAACCGACCCGAGCCCTAGCCATCCCCCACGCCCACCACCAGTGGCCGGCCTCGCCCTAGCCTGTCAATTCAGGCCTCGGCATGAAGACACATGACAGATCTATTGCACCAACTTGGAGTGTATAGTACACAACTTGAAAAGTCTTTAGACAGTTCTATTGGATATGGGTATATCATGTTAAAACAAGGATCACTATTCATCTTCCTCCTCTCGACGCATCAATGCCACCCACCGCCCACCGCCCCAGCGAGACCCTATCGCGCCCGCTGCGGCCACCTTCTTCCCCTCCCCCTCCCGCTGCCACCATGGCCATGGGCGCCCCCACCCCGACCAGGCCCGACCGCCTCCACCACCGCCAGAACCCTAAGGCTACACTCTCGCCGTCCCCACTGCCTGCCAGCCCTGCCTCCCCCAAACCCCTTCTAAGGCCACCGAACTTGCAGAAGAAGAGGGGGAGAGGCCGGATTTGGAGAAGAGAAAATTTGAGTGATGGATTGCTCCAAATCACTCGGGCGAGCTATAACTTCATCGTTAAATAATGACATAAAACAAAATTCTTTAGAACTCAGCTAATGGCCCCCATGCAGAGGAATGACTTAAAATTATGATAGCAAGAGTTAGTTACAACAATTAGCCCTATAATATTATTTTTCTACTAGAGCATTATTATTTTATTTGAAGAGCAACCTAACATGTTTTTCCTTAGCAAAGATTTCAAAGAAAAAAAAGGTTGCTTTTCCTTAGGGAGTTACTGGCGCCTCGACATCCAGTGCAACTCCAAATATCGGACACTTAGCTCGCATGGCCAGCGCACGTCCAGTCACGCGCGCGGTCATGGGTGACGTCACGACATCAGCCTCCCCTCCCAGTTCGCGCATGACAGGTGGGTTCTATTGCAACATGTGCAACAACAGATCTACTTTTACAATATCCAGATGAAACACTTGCAACATACGTCCAAAACAGCTGAAACACTTGTAATGTACATCTGAAACACTTGCAAACACCTAAGAATACTTGAAAACATGTGTGTAGCCATTGCAACACATATGCAACATCTAGATGAAACACTTGCAACATATGTATGAAACACTTAAAAACATAAGCTTGCAACATGCATGTATATACAATATCCAGATCTACTTTTGCAACATCCAGATGAAACACTTGAAACATACGTTTGAAACATATGAAACACTTGAAACATACGTGTATAGCCATTACACCATGTGCAACGTCCCGATCTACTTTTGCAACATCCCGATCTATTTTTGCAATATAGATATAAAACACTTGCAACATACCTCTGAAACACTTGAAACATATGGTTGCAACATGCACTTTCAGCGCAAAACATCTCTTTGCTGCTTCAACGAATGGAGGCTCATCGGCGCGTGGAGGTCACCGGTGTGCTCGCCGGCGACGCGGAGCTAGGTAGCGACGCACAGAGGGCGGGGTGGGGGTGGCACGGGCAGCGGTGGCGTATAGGGCGGGTGGGCGGCGCGTGGAGGTCACCGGTGTGCTCGCCGGCGGCGCGGAACTCGGTGGCGCTGAGGGCGGATAGGGAGTCATGACGGACGAGGTGGAGTGGGGAGTCACGCGCGCGCTCTTGTCCGTCCGTCTGGGATGCCTTCCATGGGAGCGAACGGAGGTTGGTGGGGATCAGCTGGGAGTAAAGCACGACGGCGAGAAGACATGTGGGTGGATGCAGCGGCGCAGGAGCAAGCAGGGAAAGGAGGATATGCAAGCGTCCAACAAGCATGGAGTGGGGATTCTTTTTTATTAACTCAGGAGTGGGGAGTTAGCGGTGGACGAGGCGTCCGACGGAAAGATAACTGTTCGGACGCCCTAATCCTAGCGTTTCCGTTTTCCTTAGCAAAGGTTGCAAAGAAAAAAAGGTTGTTTTTCCTTTGTTCTTCATCATTAGTTAGCAGCTGGCGACTCTCCTACCAAATCAACTAGAATAACAGATGAAAAGGGCACTGTATAGGGTATAGACAGAACTGATTGATCAGAGTATCATTGCACCAATCTATATTGGTATCATCTTCAAAAATACCAATCACTAAAGATTCCATGCTCATAAAAAGGGAAAGGTACAGTAGAACTTGTTAGATAATTACGCATTTTCATGGTCAATTTAATCTAGAAATATAACATCAGCAGGTTTGTGACAACATATATATGCATGTGTATATCGCTAACGAACGCTACAACATGCAAACATGACATACAGATCGATACAGTAAGAACACAAAATGCGGTAATTACAAAGATAAGAATGTACCCAGCGGAGGGTCCCATGTCGAGGGCATCGGAGGCTCCATTCGCACTAGTCGACATAGTGTGTTGCTCGAAGTCGTGGACCGCAGTCGATGCAGGAAGATGTTCACAGTGCAGTCCCACGAACGGTCACCAGGAAGAAGACGCCTTGCTGTTCCGCAAGCAATCACTGGGAAGAAGACGGGTTCCGAGAGCGATCACCATCAGGAAAAGGACGTATGTGGATGAGCAATCGCGGATCGCTCCCCAAAAACCTAATCGCCACTCACCCCGTGCAAGGTTCTCAGGCGGACGAGGGTTCCGGAGACACCTGCTCTCCCGCTACTCTGTGCGCGTAGAGGTACGGGACGGGGAAGCCAGAGGGCTGCTGAGATGTGATTTCTCTCAGGAGCGATTGTGGAAGAAGGACTGACGGAGGACGTTCTGTTTTATGCCTACGACGGGGAGGAAGAGAGCCAGTGGAGGAATCCAGGAGACGGAGACACGAAGAGACGGGGAAACAGAAATGGTGCAATCACCTCGCCTCCACCATAAAGGAGAGAAAACTCCCATAATTATGTGGATTAAGTGGCAAAAGACTGGCCATGCCAACCCGCTCGCTCGCCGCCCGCCCGCCCGCCTCGCCACGCCCACGTCCTCGGCCTCGGCCCGGCCCGGCCCGGCCGACGGCGGCGTGCGCGCGCGTGTGGCACGCCTATGTCCTTTTCTCAGCTTCTCAATTAAGATGAATAATTTCCAACCATATAAGCTAAGTCAACGTTCAGTCAAAATCTCGTATGGTATTAAACCATACAGCGCTTAATGTTACGTACCATAGAGTTTTATTTGATTTATTAAATATTATACGGGCCAAACCCATAATATATCCAACAATCACCACCAAACTCTAGGGTTTGTAACAAAGTAGTCTCAGAATCATATTTCTTTTATATACCAGTGTTTCGATGAAGACTGTTAAGTTGAACATCCATCTAGAGCAATAGTTTCACTCAGTCACAACTGAACAATGGACTAAGTCTTGAATTGATAGTTTTATGTGAGGTGAATGTCACTAAAGTCCTTAGCTGATACTTGGCTGCAAAAGGCATCCCCTCTATTTGAAGCATATAAGTCATACTCTAGTGCCTTTCATGAGTATTTAGAGATCACCCAAATTTCATAGACTATGACCAGCAGTCTGACTCATATAGGTGTGTTCCTCAAAAGATGTTCTGTAGGACAACATCTTTGCTTTAGCAA